TATGTAAACATATCCATTTTTGTGAATTACTTAATCTGTATGTCTAATCATAAGGAACCATACAGTAGCTCAATAAAAATTATGCCTATCAGTAAATTGGTCTGATTCAATTGGTTCCATTGTCAAACTTGTCTTTGAAATTCAAGTTATTAATATAGCATTGCTGTGTACTCATGAGATAGGCAAAATCAAGGGAGTTTGACTTAGCTGCACCTTTGGAGGACTAAAATAATCCTCAGGCTTTTGCTTATTTCATTTATTCTCTTTTTCCTAATATGCATTATGACCTCACCTACTTCCATTACTGTAAATCCAACTTTTATCTGTCCTTCTTAAAGCGTTACCTCCTGGTCTCTTCCTCTTACAACAAAAAACAAGGTGAAGGTTATTTTTTACTCCCTTGACTTTATTAATTAGACTTCGTTCAGAATCCTCTGGCTTTTTTTACTGTCTCTCACATAGTGTTTATTATAGCATGTCTTTATTCCCTATATCAGACTCTAAGGTATTTGCTATTTTAATTATGATGTGTCTTGCTGTGGACCTCTTTGAGTTCATCTTGTTTGGGACTCTGCTTCCTGGACTTGTTTTTTTCTTCAAATAGGTTCTCAATCTCTTGTTCTCTCTTCTTCTGGTACCCCTATGATGCAGATGTCGTTATGCTCACATTGTCCCAAAGGTCCTTTAAACTAGCCTCATTTAAAAAAATTCTTTCTTCTTGCCCTCTCCAGGTAGCTCAATTGGTTGGAGAATCATCCCACACACCAAAAGGTTGCGGATTCGATCCCAGGTCGAGGTGTGTACAGGAGTCAATTGACATGTTTCTCTCTTTCTGTCTGTACCGCAGGCTGACGCTCCAACCGCTGAGCCAAACTGGCCAGGGCATCTCTTACATCAATGTCTCTCTCTCACATCAATGTCTCTCTCTCTCTCCCCTCCCCTTTCTTTCTCTAAAATCAATAAAAACATATCCTTGAATGAGGATTTAAAAATATAAAAATAGCCCTGGCTGGTTTGGCTCAGCGGTTAGAGTGTCACCCTGCAGACCAATGAGCTGCGGGTTCGATTCCAGTCAAGGGCACGTACCTCAGTTGTAATTAGTCCCTGGCCCTGGTTGGGGTCGTGCGAGAGGCAGCCACTAGAGTGTCCCTTTCACGTCAATGTTTTTTTCTCTCTCTCTCTTTCTGTTCTTCTCTCTCCCTCCCACTCTATCTGAACAAAAATGGAAAAATGTCCTCGGGTGAGGATAAAAATAAATAAACAAACAAATTAATTAAAATAAATATATATATATTTTTTTCTGCTCTGATTGGATGTTTATTGCTACCTTGTCTTCCAAATTGCTGATTCCATCTTCTGCTTCATCCAATCTATTGTTTATTCCTTTTAGTGTAGTCTGCATTTCAGATATTGTATTCATTTCTGACTGGTCCTTTTCTATGGTTTCTATGTCCATTTTTATGCTGTTTTAGTTCTAAGTTCCTTGAGCATCCTTATAACCATTTTTTTTTACTTTATATCTGATAAATTGCTTGTGTCCATTTCATTTAGTTCTTTTTATGAAGATTTCTCTTATTCTTTCATTTTAGATATGTTTCTTTGTCTTCCATTTTTGTTGCTTCTTTGTGTTTGTTTCTAATACTGGGTAGATTTACTATGACTCCCAGTCTTGGTAAGGTGGTCTTATGTACTAGGTGTCCTGTGTGACCCAGTGGCACAGTGACCTTGATCACCTGAGCTGAGTGCTCCAGGAATGTCCCTTGTGTGGGTTGTGTGTGCCCTCCTGTTGCAATTGAGGCTTGTTATTGACCCAATCATGCATGGAGTCAACCCTCAGGCTGGCTGACTGTGAGGATCAACCTGTACTTCAGTTTATGAGCTGCTGTGCAGGTGCTGACCACACGAAGCAGAATTCACCTCAGCACAGTCTGGTGCCTGCTGAGATTCCCCCTTTGGATACGCCACTTGCGAAGCTAATTGGATCCTGCTCTGATGATGTCTGAAGCTGGCCACTGGGTGTGTTGGTTCTGGAGCCTCTTAGGAGGGAGTCTGGTGCAGGCCAATGTCAGATGCTTCCTGTGACTGGCCATGGTCAACCTATCTGGAACTACAAAGAAATCCACAGTTTATAACTACCTCTGCTGGGCCTCAGTGTGTGCGGGGAGGACCAAACTATGCACCAACGTGGCTTTTTACCAGCACCAGGCCCAGAAGCAGGTCCCAAGGCACCCTGAGGTTTTCCTCTGCCTGCTGGCTGTCTATTAGGCTCAGTAACTGAATAAAACCTCTGTCAGTACTCAAGTTGCATGAAGTAGGGGTGAGTGGTGTTCCCCAGACTGATAGAGTCAAACTTGGTGCTAATGCTGAGTCAAATGTCCCAGCGTATGCCAAGTCTAGTTGCCACCCTCTAGATGCTCACACACCTTTGTGGTAGGGCAGAGTCTCAGGGCATCATCAGGGTGAGGCCAGCAGAGTTTACTAGGCCCAAACAGACCAAGATTTGGGCATGCAAAGAGAAAACGGACCCCATGCAACTCAGTCTGTCCCAGATCCTACCAGGAGCCTGATCTCAGTCAAAAGGGTGGGGCCAGTACATCTCTTGTGAGGGGGAGGTACCACTCAGATTCACAGGAAAGTGAGAGGAATGGCCCCTGCCCCCAAAGCCACACAACTCAGTCACTGACACCCTCTGTGTCTGCCCAGACCTCTATATCCTGGCCCAATGAGCTGATTCCTCAGCAGGGTGTAAGCTCTGCAGGGTGGGGCAAAAGTGAGGCCAGAGGGTTGGGCTATTGTTCCCCCAGGCTGATGCTATATGGAGGGGAGTACTCTACCAAGAAAGATGGAGTCAGCAGCGTGGGAGAGTGACTCAGCACAGGGATCCTGGCTGCTATCCCTTCAGCTCTCTCCCCAGAGTCACAAATCCCAGTCTCTCCTCATGTGACTCTTAGTCTACTCTGCCTTCCCTCCTCCAGAGCCCAGCGTGAATTGCTGCAAATGAGATTTTGTGCATTAGCGCTTTAAGAGGGCTTCTGTGTCTCTAACAGACTCCCCCGGCTCTCTCTGGCAGGCAGAATTTCTGCTGATTTTCCCAGCCAGATATTCTGTGGGTGCCTCTTCCAGGCTCTGGGGAGCCTGACTTGGGGTTGAGACCCCCCCCCCCAGTCTTCTCAGGGGGACCTTTGCAGCTGAGCTATCCCTCCAGAATCTCAGCATCTGCGTGTGGAGCAGGGCCAGCCCCTTTCACATCTCTCCCCTTCTCACCAGTCTCAATGTGGCTTCTGTAAATCCTTTATCTTAAGACTTCTCTTCGGCTAGTCTTCAGTTGATTATTCAGGTTGATTGCTCTATATTTTAGTTGTAATTCCAGTTTGGTCCCCGGAAGAGGTTAGTGTAGCTTCCACCTGCTCCACCATCATCTTGAAAGTCCTCAAACTCTAGGTATTTGAAGGCAAACACTTTTATTCTGCCTCAAAAAGAGGCAATGTAGCTTAATGGTTAAGACCCCAGGCTTAGCAGTTGTGATTTCTTGGGCATCAACTTACATGCCCTCATCTGAAAATGATAGCACCGACCTCATAAACTTGTAGAGGCATCTTAAGAGAATGCATGTCAAGTTGCCTGGCTCTTAATTACTTGATAATTGTTAACTGTTGTGTGTACTCCCTACATCCCCTAAACAAAAGCCTTACATGCTGTAGGCTTCAATTATTTGTTGGTCGAGTTTATGCTAATACATTCATACTTAGAGATGCATTAGCATTGTCGTGTCTGGCGGACTAACGTGATTAACTGTGACCTAATAGCACTTGGAAAGGCTTGGATTACCTACATAGGGCCAGTTCCCCGGCTTCATTATCCAGAATCAGTGTTGTTCAGTGCAACTTTCCGTGATGCTGGCAATGTGCTCTAGTCCGGGCTGTCCAATAAAGGAGTGATTAGCGACATGTGGTTATTGAGGACTTGAACTGTTGCTAATACATCTGAGAAGTTGAATTTTTTTTTTCTTCTCATTTTAATTAGTTCAATACCTTCTAATGATTAGCACTACCCGACTGGACAAAGCAGCTCTAGAACGTGCCTCCTCCTGTCAGCCTCTTTATACTGCGTCCCCTTTTTCACCCGTCATGGGGTATTTTCTAAGCGAATGAGTAACCCTCACTGATTCAAAGCATCACAACTTCAACTGATCCCAACCCCGTTTACTCTTCGGCGGTTGCACGTGTCTTCCTTGTGTCGCTTCACCAAGAGCTGGCATGAGAACAGCCTCCGTTTAAAACCCACTTTCTCGGGCATTCGCACGGGACGAAGTGAGTCATACATCAAACGACTGATGTCACCCCACAAAAGCACTGATCGCGCCCCGCCCGCCCCGTGGAGCGCGGTCTGGAGGGAAGACGAGGGACGCCGGGAGCGCCGGCCAGCCGCCTCGACAGGCGTGGCAAAAACGTGAGCGGCGCGCAGGGCGGCCGGGACACGCCTTCGTCCGGCCGAGTGGGCGGGGAGGCTGTCCGCCTGTCCTCCCACGCGGGACAACGCCACCATGGACTCGCGTGCCAGTCGGCGTGGCCGGTGCTGGTTCCCAACCCTGACGGTGTCCCAGCGTACAAAACGAGAGCCAGGCTCCAGCCGCCTCGGCAGGAGAATCATGCCTCCTGCCAGGTCGGCTAGAAGCTTCTCCAAACCCCACCTCGAAACCGTGCCCCCGCCGCTCCAGGCTCAAGGTCCCCCCTACAAAATGGCGACGGCGCCTGGGAAGCAACCATAGAGCCGTCAGCGCTCTGCGGACAGAGCGCCGACCTCTCCGGAGCGTCCGCGCTCCCTGAGAGGCTTGCGGGGCTCGCGTTCCGGCGGAGGCGGGAACAGCGTGCGCCTCCAGGGGCCGCTCTAGGAGGACAACACGCAGTCTCCATGGTGCCGGGTCCTCCGAGCCGATCACGTGGCTGGCGGAAGCCTCCGCGGAGGCGGAGGGAGGAGAAAGGGGCGGGAGGCCGAGGGGACTGCTCGGGACCCGGCGAGGCGACGACTGGGTTGTCATGGAACCGCGGGGCCGGGCGGGCGCATGCGCCACTTGACCCGCAGGCTGGTCTTGGAGTGGCGACCCCGGCCCTAGGTGAGAAAGGGAGCACTGGGCGCACCGGGACAGCGTTTGGGCGAGGAGCGTGGGGAGACGAGAGGGATTAGGGAAAAGAAGGGACGCGAGGTAGGCAAGAAGGAGAACCAGGACTTTTGGTGGACAGGGGACCGAACGGTGGGAGCAGAGGGTGTGCGTCTCTCCCCCATTTAGTTGGTTTGGCTGTGAGGGGTGGGACTGCGTGGGAGAGGGAATGTCAGTGAGGAGGGGTCTGTGTACCGAGAGGGGCTTGAAGAGGTGCCCGTGGCTGGGCCCTGGTCTAACCCTGGAGGTAACAGCCTGCTGGGCTTCCGAGCAGTGGGGGAGCCTGGAGGCCTCCTGCCAGGCTGTGAACTGAGAGCAGGGAATGGGCAGTTGAGTGGGTGCGGGAGCTCGTAACCAGGTGAGGGTCCTGGGACTCCAGTTTGGGGTTGGGGGTAGCGCCCCGTTCTGGGTCAGGGGCACAGGTGTGCTGTCTTTTCCAGCGACCTGCTGTCACTTACTTGCTGGTTCTCTCTCCTGGGTAGCCAGGTGGCCAGGCATGGTGCCAGGGGTTGGGGAGGTGGAGAAGAAGTGCCAAGTAAGGATTTAGTGGGTGGGTTGGGGGAGCTCTGATCCAGGCCCAGGGTACAGGCCGAAGTCAGACTCCCTGTTATTGCCTAAGTCCTGGCAGTATGCATTGCCTGGGCGTTTGCCCTGGGAGGCTGGTGGTATGCCAGTCACAGCACAGTCCTAGGGTCTGTCCAGTTCTGCCCTGCTGAGCTGGCAGGCTTGGATGCCTGGAGGGTACTCCTGCTGTCTGGCACAGATGCAGCGTGGGCTGGTGCCAGTGGGGAGGTGGGCACTGTTACTGTGAACCCTTCTGGAAGCAGAGAATTTGAGGGAAGTTCTCCAACCATCTACTCAGGAATAGACTGGCGTGAGCACTTCCACGTGCTAAACGGAGGACATTGTACGGGGTTGGGGTTTAGGATCTTTAAAGTGAGTTTTTGCAGTCAAGTTGAAGGGTGAAAATGGATGTAAAGTGAAAGATGAATATTAGAGATTTAGGTATTTCAGGGGAGTGAGGGGTTTGTTCTCTGGTAAAATACATAGTCATTTTCCCAGAATGGTATTTCCAAATATGTAGAATAAGAGAAAATGACTTCAGAGAAAACCCAGTAATGTATTTATAATTCTAACTGAGATTACCCATGGTTTTCTGGGTAGTAACATCTTAATTTTTTATGGCCTTGTCGCTTTATTGTATTTAAGTCTTCAGTTGGGCTTTTTTCTCATAACTCTGTCCATGCACCCGTGTTATACATGTGACACATTTTAAAGGGAACTTGAGCTCTCAGGAGAGTTGCCAAGTATCTATAAAAGGAGAGATCTGAGAGCAACATTTCAGATCCTTTTCTTGTAAACCTTGGGCCTCCTTTTTATCATAAGCCTAAATCATCAGAGATTGTTTTTGGGTTAGACCAACCTTTAATTTGGTTGATGGATTTATCTCTGAATTTTTATTTTAGAATCAGGGGTAAATAAGAGGTCTTCCTGCAGGAGACCAGAGCTGGAAGTTGGATCTTGAGGTGACCATGGTGTTTGGAAATGCAGAATCTTGACCTTCAAGCTGTTCAGGTCTTTCATTCACAGCTAAGCAGCTAGGGCTGTCAGCGAGGCTCAGCAGAACGGGAGATTTGTAGGAATTTATTATTCCGCTGAGTACCTCACACATATTGTTGGGAGCTGAGGTTGCAAAGATTGAAAAACAACTATTGGGGTTGAGGAGACAAATAATTAGACTAATGTTAGAAGTGCAAAAACAGAAGAGCCAAGTGCTATGGAGCACTTGTTAGAATTTTATCTTATACCTATTTATATGAGCCTCTGTATTTACATTCACTTTCCATTGTAAGTTTTAGTGTGTACTGTTACTGTTCTCCCTGGGAACCTTTGGACACTGTGTTACCTGTCACTTATTAAGAGGCCCATTTAGGGTGGATTCTGACAGTTTGCGGAGCTTAAGTTGGAGTCCTTTTAATGCAGAGTCAGGCACATGAAGATCTGAGGTGTTTGTAAGGCAATGTTAGTGGTTTCCAGTCTGTACCAGGAAGCAGAGATGGCACAGTGGGTAAGAGCTTGGTAACCCATTTTCAACAGTCAGCTTATGAACATCTAGCTTTATTGTAACATAATATTGAGGAGAAAAAAAATCTTGAGGTGTTCAGACTCTGCCATTTGTGTGGCCCTGGGTTTGAGAGCACCAGAAGTAATGCCATCCCTCTGCTGCTCCCCGTGGAGCCTCATCTGGTGCTGTGTATGAGTGGGCCTGTTGTTCCCTGGTACTGGATGTCCGAAGTACCACTCTGGGAAGGAAGTGCCTCCCCTCTCAGAGCGGAGAGGTCAAGGTGGGATGTAGCCCTTCATTCTCCCTCTTTTTTGAACTGCCATGGGCATTAAGGCTTTCCACTGCACAACGAGAACTTAGGACAGAGGCTTTCATGTTCTTAGTCACTTTCACATCCAAAGTAGTTAATTTACTATTTTAAAGTAGACTGTGTTTTACTTTCAACTACTGCCAGTTCCCCAGGATCTAAAACTTTAGCATCTGTTATCCTTTTAACCAATTTGTCAATGTTTCAGTATTTTGATTCCACAATCAACATGGTCCTGTACATATGTATATTTTTTGTTAATCATCACTTGAGGATATTTTTCCATTGGTTTTTAGAGAGAATGGAAAGTAGGGAGGGAGAGAGAGAAACATTGATGTGAGAGAGACACATGGATTGGTTGCCTCCCACACAACCCTGAGACCAGGGATCGACCCTGCAACCTAGGTATGTGCCCTTGACTGGAATCGACCCCTTGGGTTCTCTGGCTGATGCTCTGACCGCTGAGCCACACTGGCCAGGGCTGAACTGTATATTCTTTTTTTTTTTTATCCTCATCCGAGGACATTTTTCCATTTTTTGTTCAGGTAGAGTGGGAGGGAGAGAGAGGAACAGAGAGAGAGAGAGAAACATCGATGTGAAAGGGACACATCGAGTGGCTGCCACCTGCACAACCGACTAGGGCCGGGGACAAACTGCAACCGAGGTACGCGCCCCTAGCGGGAACCGAACCCGGGTCTCTTAGGAACGCAGGCCGACGCTCTAACCGCTGAGCCAAACCAGCCAGGGCTGAACTGTATATTCTTGATGGGTCAGAATAAATTCCTGTGTATCTTTTGTAGCTCCATTGAGTACACTTCAATAACAGCAGCAAGACCTTTCTCGTCTTGTCCCAAGGATTGTAGAAGACTAAATTGGGATGTTTTATCTAAAATACCTGTAAAATAATACATATTTTGTGTGTTTTTAAAATTTTTTTTCCCTTTATTGATTTTAGAGAGAGAGAGGAAGGGAGAGGGAGAGAGAGATAGAAACATCGATGAGAGAGAACATTGATTGGCTGCCTCCTACATGCCCCCACTGGGAATTTGGCCCACAATCTGGGCATGTGCCCTGACTAGGAATTGAACTGGCGACCTCTTGGTGCATGGGTTGACGCTCAACCACTGAGCCACACCAGTCGGGCAAATAATACATATTTTATAAGATAATGTGAATGAAATTTTGTCAAGTTCTTGATCATTTGCAACTAACATGAGTTGTTTTCCTAATTGAAATCAAAAGCAGGGTCAGACTTGGATGATAAGTCTGATTGCCCATACACAAGCTACATCTACTTCCATTTTGGAGAAGCCTCCTATTCATGTTCAGACAGTATTATTTCAAGTAAATGAAACTATGCACATTTATTGGTTTTCATACAAAAAGATTCTTATTTCATTAGAGATACACTTTTACATTTTAGTCTATTCTTTAAGCGGCATTGTTCATACTGTCGAACTTCCTGGCCGTCCAGTAGAGGAATGTTGCTTTTGCCTAGTGCTGTACAAGATGTGACAGTGCCATTGTTTCTCTTGTGTGCACATGGAACTAAACCTGTGACCTGTCAGAGTACTTAGTTTGACATAGCGAAACCAGTTCCCTTAAGTGAGGTTGAGTCTCATTCAGATCCGTGTGTGGTCCCTTTAGTCCATTTCTGTATGCAAAAGTATGAGCAAGGGAGTTGCTCAAGGACACTCCTTGTCTTCTTTTTAATGTTACTTCAACCCTCTCCTCTGCTCCTGGAGGAGTTGATGTTTTTCCCGAGACCCTGATTAGCAGAGATGCTGTGACTTGGCACTTCAGGGTGCTCCAGCTACAGTGCCGTTTGGCCGGGGCCTCGTGTTTCTCTGCACTCAGGATGAGTGGGTGGAGGTGCGAGTGGATTGTGAATTAAAATGTCACCAGGCTTCGCTTACAGTTACTGTCTTAGTCTGCTTAGGCTGCTATAATGAAATATCACAGACTGGGTGGCTAACAAACCACATAATTTATTTCTAGTGATTCTAGAGGCTGGAAGTCTGAGATCAGGGCACCGATGTGGTCAGTGAAGGCCCTCTTCTTGGCCACAGAGTTCTCATCGTATTCTCACACGGTAGAAGGGATGGGATCTCTCTGGATCCTCTTATAAGGCACTAATCCTCCTTACTAGGACTCCACCCTCATGATGTAAGCCTCTCCCAGAGGCCCCACCTCCTAATTGTATCATCTTTGGGAGTGAGAATTTCAACATCTGGATTTGACAGGAACACAAACATTGAGACCAGTGTTTACCCAGTTTTATTATGATTATCATTTTCCTTGTTGGCCTCCTGTTGTCTTTAGTCCTGTCATATTCCTTGTGTTCTTATCTTGCTGCCGTTCCTCAGTGCCTCAAATGGCCTTGTTAAACTATCTGGAATGTTTGTAGCCTCTGCCAGCCCTCTGAAGGGCTCATTTGTCTAATTCTTTGAACTGTTAGCTTAGTTATGGATCTGCTGTGGACTAGCCGTGTGTCACTGGGGCGAATCTAGGCTTCTTCCTGTGCTCCCAGCAGGTACATATGACAGCCTACTGAGCATCTCCACTCGGGTGACCCACAGTCGCTTCTCTCTACATGGCCTAAACTGAACCAGCCTAGCCACCCCACTGCATATCTTTTGTGTTCCTCTTGGCTCCACCATCTATCCCCCAACATACACTCACTGAGCCCCCCAAGTCAGCCTCCTAAATATGTCTCCAATCTGTTCACTTCTCTCCATGTCCACTGCCACCACCTTAAGTCACCGGGACCACAAGGTAGTGTAGTTATATCTAGATGATCTCATTGCCACTTTGGCCTCTTCCTACTTTAGTCTCAGTCCAGCATCCAGATGCTTTAAAATGCAGATCCGATCTTGTTATTCTTCTGGTTAAAATCCTTCTGGACTTCCCATCACTCTTAATACCCAAAATCTTTACAACACGTTACAAGGCACTGTCTGTCTGGCCTGCACCAACCCTTCTATTGTCACGTGACCTTCTGCCCCTGCACTGTGCTCTAGCCTCCCTGGCCTTTCAGCTTCACACTTCCACACCCCACCAGCCCCTTCCCCCAGCTAATTTCCGAACTTTAGCTAACTCCCACTAACTCTGTCTCATCCTCCAGATCCCAGCTACGTCACTTCCTCAGGAAAGCCTTCCCTTCCCTGTCCTCCCAGACTATTAGCCCCTCTCCATCATAGTTGTTATCAAAATAGTAATTAATTGTGTGCTTACTTGATTACTGTCTGTCTCTCTCTAGAGTGTAAGCTTCAGGAAGGTAGACCATGTCTATTCGATTCACCCTATATCCCCAGTCCTAGCACAATGCCTGGTTCATAGTAGGCACTTGATAAATATCTTTAAATGACTGAATGTAACTTACCTGAACCTCAACTTCCTCCTCTGTAAAATGGGATAACAATAGAGGAGGAGGTGAGGCTCGAGTGAGATGGCATTTCAATGTTGTGGGCTTTTGTAGAAGCAAAGCACTATTCTATAATCTTATTTGTGCATGAAAGTGCTTTTAAAGCCAGAAAGTAGCATGCATATAAAAGTTGTTGTTTTTACTGTGTTCAGTAAAACATCCAAAGAAGTGAAAGGTTAATTTGAGAAAAGACACTATGGGAGGTGGCAAGAAGTCAGGAGCCGGCAGATGTATCCTGGGAAAGCGAGCCCTGTCCCAGATGGGCATTCCCTCTGCTCGCCTCCCTCAGGGAGCAGCGTGAGTTACCCGGCCCAGAAACCTAATCAAATGTGCCTTTGTTAGCCGCTTCAGAGCCCCCAGTCAGCGCGGTGTGTGTGCCTTGCATTTGTAATGGATGTAGAGGGCAGGGGGAGGACAGAGAACCTCCTTTCGGGTGGAAACCCTTCTGTTTAGTACACTTGAAGCCTTTTCGGTTGAGACCTGAGAAAATGCAGAGGAAGTGGGTGAGGCCAGTGTTCTTTGCCCTTTCTTTACTCACCATTTCGGTCACCTGTTTCAGCTCTCTAGGCAGTGACTTCTTATGTAATTGTTGTTTTTCACAGGGCAATCCAGATGAAAAGAGTACTGGTGAATTCACTTCCAGCCCAATAAAACATGGAGAGGAAAAACCCGCCCAGAGAGAGCCCCAGAAGACTCTCGGCCAAACTAGGCAAAGGCACAGAGATGAAAAAAGTCGCTCGTCAACTCGGCATGGCAGCGGCCGAGTCTGACAAGGACTCTGGATTTTCAGGTTAAAAATACCGTGTTATTTTTGCATTGTAATGAATGATTTGCCTGAAAATGGTCCTCCCTAAAACTCATTTGTATGATAAGGTTGGGAAGCTCACGGACAGAATAATAAATATCTAATCTCCTAAAATGGTAATTTCTGGTGCCATATGGCAGGGTACCCATCAGAGTCACCATGGGGTTAATTCTGAAGGAATGATTTGACATCCTTTTTCAATTCAGACTCTCAGTTTTAAATCTTACATTGCTAAATGGTTACTGCATGTTGTCACCATACAACAAATTAAACAAAAGTAATATATACTTTGTTAAGATAACTTTTTTGCTGAGAAAGTAATTCTGCTGTGTTTAAACTGTTTCCCCTTTACAGCCCACCCTTCCAGTATCCATGCATTTTGTACTTGAACTGTGAGCCTCCTCGCCCAGTTCCAGACTTAGCTGTGGGAGACGAGGAAGGAGACAGTTTTCCTACTGGTTTGTCTAAACCCGAAAGGGCCTGCCGCATACCCCTGAAACTTTCGATTTCGTGCCGAGGCTCTTTTTTAGTTGCAGGTCTGAGGATAGTGGCTTGCTTGACACGAGACTCTGGCTCTAATGTCAACATTTTGGCCCAGGGGATGCAGAAAGGTGATGCTAGGGATTCTGGCCGGGTTGGCATCCTGGGGTGGAGCCCTCTCCTAGAGAAAGATTTATGTCACCCAACCTCACAGAGACTAAACAGTGCATCCTATTGATTCATTAACTTATTGTGAGAAATACGGCTCTTAGGAATGCTGGATCTGCCTCTCAGATTAGTATATCATATCTTCTCACTGTAGGCAGGCTGCGTGAGAAACCAGATTATAAATAGACTGTTGCTCAGAGAGGAACAGAGCACCTACTGACCAAGGGATGAGAATAAGGACAGTCTGGGGAGGAGGGCCAACGTGTAGCCCTTTGGGTTTTTCTTCCCTATTGCTCAGCATTGTTCCCAAGCTTGCCTCATCCTAGGGCATTTGTTAAGAATGCTGCTCACCAGACCCCGCTCCTCCATTGGGATGTTGAGGGTCTTGGGGGAGGGCCTGGAATGTGGGTTTTAGTTTTGGTAAGTGGTGATTTGTGTTATCAGACAGATTGGGGAAACAGTGCGGGCTTATTGTCTCTGTGTTTTCTTTTAACATCATGTTCGCTTTCTTCTGTTTTTCATATCACAAAGGTAATACATGCTCATTGTAGAAGCTTAGAAATGTAGAAACACGCAAAGAAAAGTATAAACATTATCTATCATCCTACCACCATTTTTCAATACTTTTTTTTATTTTTGTTTGTTTTTATCCTCACCCGAGGACATTTTTGCATTTATCTTCAGATAGAGTGGGAGGGAGAGAGAGAGAGAAACATCGACGTGAGAGAGACACATCAAGTGGTTGCCACCCACACGACCCCAACCAGGGCCGGGGACAAACTGCAACCGAGGTAAGTGCCCTTAGCAGGAACTGAACCCGGAACTCCAATGTTCTAACCACTGAGCCAAACCGGCCAGGGCTTATTTCAGTACTTTAGACATTTTGGTACCTCTCTTTCCAACAACTTCAGGCTGGTGGTTTTGGAATATGTCCCAAAATGGTGTTCCTGATAGTTTCCGTATTAACTCTGTGTAGAAGAGTTTTAAGACGTACTGTGCTGCTCACACATAAGGCACTGTTAAAACTAATCAGACTGGTTGTGCTCCAGAAAGGGACCCCAGTGAGTGCCTCCAGCCACACCTGGGCCAGGTGCCAGTGATTTTGTCACTGCTTGAGTTACTTCAGTTACCTTAGAGTATGATGTAATCTGTGATTTTTAATTAGCTATGATCCATATCCAGAGTTTTCCCGTGGTTCCAGCAGTGTCCTTTATAGCCATGAGTCTTTTTGTCTGTCTGTTTTAAGTCCAGGGTCCATTGAAGATTGTACACTTCATTTAGTTGTCCTGTCTTTTTAGTCTCATTTAGTCTAGAACAGCTCCCTCATCTTTCCTTTTCTGTCCTTCCCTTTTTCCCCTTTTTTATGACATTGACATCTTTGAATGAATTAGGCCTGTTTTGTAGAATGTGCCACACTCTGGATTTTTCTGGTAGCTTCCCCATTACTAGAATCACGATAAACATTTTTTACCAGACTACTGTGTTTTTTTCTGTTATATCTCCTTATTGCACTGAAAAGGAGACTCCTAAGTTTGTCTTATTCTTGGTGATACTCTGGTTGATCACTTGGTTAAGGTGGTATTTACACTTGGTTAAGGTAGCATATACCAGATGTCTTTATTGTAAAATAAGCAACTTAATTATTACAAGTTTTTTTCTCTGTAATTTTAAGCAACTTATGAGATGATATTTTGAGATTTGTGACTATTCTGTTCCCCAACAAACTCTCGACCTGTGATTTTAGCATCCATTGATCCTTGCCTGAATCAGTTACTACATTTGTTGTTTAAAAAGGATGATCTAGCCCTGGCCAGTTTGGCTCAGCGGTTAGAGTGTTGGCCCATGGACCAGAGTGTCTCGGACTCTATTACCGGTCAAGGGCACGTACTTTGGTTGCGGGTTTGATCCCCACCCCAGTCGGGGTTGGAGGCAACCAGTCGATGTGTCTCTCTCACACCAATGTTTCTCTCTCTCTCTTTCTCCCTCCTTCCCACTCTGTCTAAAAATCAATAAAAAAATGATGATTTAATTATATTATTCCTTGTACATTTTATTAGCTGACATTCTTCTGTAAAGAAGCACTTTCTCTCCTCCAACCCGTTTTTTTGAGTATCACTGTGGTTCATGGAATTCTTTTGTAATTCAGTTTGTCAGTTCATTATTAATATTCTTTTTGATACTCAGATTGTTCTAGATTTGGCCAGTGGGAGTCCCTTCTAGTAGCCCCTGTGTCTTTTCGACATGCCTTCATTTCTGTTTGAGTATTTCCTTGCTTTCTGGGACAGTAAGATGTCCAGGCTCATTTTGTACCTTCCCTGCCAAAGACTTGGAATCCAAGGAGCCTGGTTTCCTTTCCATGAGAATGGCATTTAGGAACGAAGACCCAGGCACCAGGTATGCACTTAACTCCTGAGGCCTTTGTTTCTGGCCTAATGGTCCTTTTTTTTAGTCCTCATCTGAGGATACTTTTTCCATTTATCTTCAGATAGCGTTGGGGGGGGGGGGACATCGGAGTGAGAGACACATCGAGTATTGCTGCCTCCCGCACAACCCTGACCAGGGCCGGGGACAAACGCAACCAAGGGGCGTGCCCTTGACTGGAATCGAACCCGAGACTTACTGGTCTGAGGGCCAACGCTCTATCGCTGAGCAAACCTGGTCAGGGCAGCCTAATGGTTCTTAACTAGACGTGCATGGTTGGATTACTTGTGTTTTGTGAAAATAATACCTGCCTAGACACCAGATAAATCAGCTCATTAGACTGAGGGGAGGACCCCAATATCTGTAATTTCTAAACAGTGTCACTGGAGATTCTGATTTAAGTGCAAGTATTGACCGCTGCACTCGTTTAAATTAAAGTCACATTCCAGGCCTGCCTCATCCAGATTACTCTGAGGTCCTTGATGAGCATTTAGGGGATCCCCAGTCTCCTTATGACAGGGTTACAGCAGTCTCTGGGTTTGCTCTAGCAGGTAGCTATTTAAGTCCTTTTTGCTGGATTTCATGGAGGGCAATCTTATTTTCTTTGCCTTGGAGAGTTTCTGTCACCTGATGTGCAGGGTCCCCAGTAAGCACACTCCTGCACTTAGGGCACCAACAAAGAGGTGCCTGCCTGGGTAGAGGGAACAGCAGAAGTGATAACTATGGATCCCATTGAGAATCCAATGAAAGTTAAAGACCCTCTCCTCAGAAAAATTCACAAAAACCCATCTCACAAATGTTCCACTCAATTTCAAGGGCGTCCCACCGCTCCCTAGGAGGCCTGGTCAAGGGCCCCTAGAATCGAGCCTGGGTGAACTGACCGTTTTCTGCCTACCAGATGGGAGTTCGGAATGTCTGAGCTCCGTGGAGCAGATGGAGTCCGAGGACATGCTGAGCGCCTTAGGCTGGAGCCGGGAAGACAGGCCAAGACAGAGCTCCAAGTCTGCAAGCAGCGCCTTCCCTACACTGTCCCCCATGGTCGTCATGAAGAACGTGCTGGTCAGACAGGTGAGGAGGAATGTCTCTCCCGATGCTTTTGCAGATGAGGGTTCCCGAGCTTCCTGTGTACAGAGGCTCACCCTCTCTGCCCAGGAGAGATTTCAGAAGCAGACTGCTAGACCCACACTGACAGTACTCGGTCTTAGGGAGAGGATGTTTTCTTTCAAGTACTGACAGTGTTTTGAAAAGGGCGACAAGAAGCATGACATGTGTTCTCATTTTCCAGACAGCAAGACGATTTTATTTCTGTATCCCTAGTTTGTCCAAAAGAACACCGGAATTCTTTAGTCATGTATAAAAGATCCAAGCAGAAATGTCATAACTTTCATAATGCAGAGTAATATATCATGGAATTTAGGGTATAAACAAAAGAATCTCTTTTTAATTTGAAATGCCCTGGGAATTTAGAAATGTAGCATGCATTATTTGTTTGAGAAGTAGAGGCAATTTCCATGTTTCTCATGTCACATTCTGAGCCTATTCTTAGTAGTCAGCCAAAGGAGTGTCCTTCGTGAAAAAGCAGCTCTCTGGTTTAGGTATGGCTGTCCCAGCGGAGTCTGTACAGCATTGCTGTGGAGCTGCAAAACACCCCGTCTGGGCCTTGATTACATAACTGTGCATAATATGTGATTATTATCCAGACATGCAAGAAAAGAGGATTTAGATGAAAATCTAAGCCCCCCCATGTTTGAAACAGAGAACTGAATCATAGGAACTGGGTTCAAGAACATTTAACTTGACCCTGCTTTGCTCTAAAATATATCAGCTCTCACATGGGTCCGTTGGTGAGGCTGCTTAAAGCTAGTGACATATGAAATTGGTTTTATGATACTGACCTTCCCACCTTAGGTATAAGAACATACATGGCTATATGTGTATATAAGAACATACATAGCCTGACATGAAACCTTAACGTCTTAACTATTACCTAGTTATATCTGAGGAGCACAAACTGATTTTCAACAAGGCAACCTGGTGAGTTTGGAAACAGAATTTGAAGATTTTTGCTTGGCAAATCACATCTCAGCGGGAAGAACAGCTCTCCTTACTGAAATGGAGAGAGAGACTAAAGACACGTAATGGGGCCCAAATGAGCTTGTCCAGGTGTCACCAGCTCCGTAATGCTTTTCAGGGCTTCCTTTCTCCTGGCTCTTTCTCTTCCTGCCCTCCTCTCTGACCCCCTTGTCTGTCCCTTCCTGGTGTCTTGTTTATATGCCTTTGTTGTAGACAGGCTGGCTCCCACAGTGCAGGCGCGAGGAGGCTTTTCCAGCAGAGCGGCGTTGTCCAGCACAAAGGCCTGCGGAAGGCTGCTGGGCTCCACGTGGAGAGGGGCGGCTGGGGGCCGGCTGACCCAATGGAGCAGTGTAGGAGTTTCATCTGGTTTTTCCTTTTCTTTCTTTTTTTTTTTTTTAAGATTTTTTATTTATTTAATTTATCTTTAGAAAGAGAGGAAGGGAAGAAGGAAAGAGAGACAGGAACATCAATGTGAGAGCAACACATCTCTCTGCTGCCTCCTGCATGCCCCCTACCGAGGATTGAGCCCACAACCTGGGCATGTGCCCTGACTGGGAATCAAACCCTTAACCTTTTGGTGCACAGGACGATGCGCAACCAACTGAGCCACACTGGCCAGGACTCGTCTTGTTTCTTTCGCACATGTTAGAATCCGGCACATTTCAAGATTAAAATAGTGACATACTTTTTAAAATCTGTATATTGTATAATGTCTTGGTTTTAGATATTTTTCTTTCGAGGGTCTGATTCCAGTTCTGCCGCTCAATGGTGTGACCTTGCGCACAGTTACTTAACCGCCCTAGACTTCAGTTTCTTCATCTTCAACATGAAGGCTCCATGTGAAATGATTCTGAGATTGTAGCCAAGTCTAAAACCTTGTCCCAGATTTCCACAGTCATTTCACATGAATAATATATTGTAAAATCTAATAATTAGAACCAGGAAGTTAAGTGTCTATCATAGCAGTGGGCATAGCAGCACCAGGAAGACTCCGGTGCCATCAGTTTAGGAAAGCAGTGAAATAGATACTTTCTGGATTTGTTTGCCTCGTAGGTCCACCCTTGGGGCATGAGTGACTCGGGGACTAGGCTGATGTTTGCTTCTGACTGAGCTGAACTGGGCTGATGTCCACTTTGAAAGGTCCCTGATTCTGGGTCTCCTCTGACAGGGAAGTACGGTGCTAGGCCTAGCGTTGCTTGCTTGTGTACATTCCAGAGTCCATTTGAATACCAAGAGGGCACCAGAATGGACTCTACAGGTTATCCCAACCTTTGCACAGGAGATGGACTATAGCTGGCCTGAAGTTCCTAGCCACGCATGAAGAAACTGAAATGTGTGCACGCGTGGGACATAGCTTTCTTCAGCTGAGTCTAATGACTGCCCCACGGAGGAGAAGAACCTCTGGTGGGCTTGCTCTCTGCCTAGGCTCGACACTCATATCTTTGGGACCAAGTTGGAACTGGACTGGCTTTTAAATATTGGAAGTAGCTAGCTATGCCCTTCTTTGTTAGATTTCCATCTGCATCAGTACTTTAAAAATAAGAATGTATAACAGAGAATAATATGACAAAGGCAGTGCAGCAGAATGGTTAGGATGGGTTTTAGAGTCATCCCTGTTGCATCTCTTAGTATCTTGTTGACTTACAGCAAGTTATTTCAACTTTTTTTTATCCTCACCCGAGGACATTTTTGCATTTGTCTTCAGAGAGAGTGGGAGGAAGAGAGAGAGAGAAACATCGACATGAGAGAGACACATCGACTGGTTGCCACCCACACAACCCCAACCGGGGCCGGGGAGAAACTGCAACCGAGGTACATGCACTTAGTGGGAACCGAACCCAGGACTCTCTGGTCCACGGGCCGACACTTCAACCGCTGAGCCAAACCAGCCAGGGCAAGTTATTTCAACTTTCTACGCCTCACTTTTCTATTTATTGAAGGGAAGTGATGATTACCTCGTGGGTTGTTACGGAAATAACCCATGTAAAACATCACACACAGTACTAGCTTGTGTAGTAAGCACAATACCTGATAACTCTTATTATCTTGAGCATTTTTATGATTGTTGGGTGTCACTGCCTTAAAAGGGAGGCCCATGGACTCCTGACAATATGTAACTTCTTAATCAAAAGTTGCATTCAGCCCTGGCTGGTTTGGCTCAGCAGTTAGAGCGTCAGCCTGTGGTCCAGAAAGACCCGGGTTCGGTTCCCGCTAAGGGCATGTACCTCGGTTTCAGTTTGTCCCCAGCCCTGGTTGGTCGTGCGGGTGGCAGCCACTCGATGTGTCCCTTTCACATCGATGTTTCTCTTTCTCTTCCTCTCCCTCCCTTCCTCCCACTCTGTCTGAACAAAAAATGGAAGAATGTCCTTGGGTGAGGATTAAAAAAAAAATTGCATTCAGGTAAAAGAGGGTCCAGATGTAACTAAATGAGGACGGACTCTGGTGTAAAGTCACATTTAGTCAAGAAATTGTACTGCCCATATTTTTATTGCCTCAGTTGTGCCCTTAACTATATCATTACTTCACCTTCCTACAATGTCTTTTCCTGAGTGATAGCACTTGAATAAAAATAAGTATTTCCTCGAGTTTTCCCTTAGGAAAAGTAAGAAAGAAAGAAGTTACAGTAGCACGCCCAAATGGAATTTTTTTTTTTTATCCTTACCTGAGGACATTATTCCATTTTTTGTTCAGACAGAGTGGGGGAGAGAGAGAGAGAGAGAAACATCGTGAAGGGACACATCGAGTGGCTGCCACCCACACAACCCAACCAGGGCCGGGGACAAACTGCAACCGAGGTATGTGCCCTTAGCGGGAACTGAACCCGGGTCTCTCTGGACCTCAGGCCAACGCTCTAACCGCTGAGCCAAACTGGCCAGGGCCCAGATGGATTTTTAACCCGCTGGATGTGAGGGAAGCTCTGACGTTGTGAGTCTCTGCTTCGCCCTTGACAGCCCGGGGCCTCCCTCCGCAGCACGAGTAGCATGCTGTGTTGGTCTTTGCAGGGCAGCAGCTCGTCCCAGCTCCAGTCGTGGACCGTCCAGCCCTCCTTCGAAGTGATCTCAGCGCAGCCGCAGCTCTTGTTCCTTCACCCGCCGGCGCCGTCTCCTGTCAGCCCATGCCACACGGCCGAGAGAAGGTCTGACTCCAGGAACTACTTGCCCATTCTGAATTCTTACACCAAAATAGCCCCGCACCCGGGCAAGAGGGGCCTTTCCCTCAGCCCGAAAGAAAGAGAATGTGGAGTGCAGAAGAAAGTCTGTACCGAGAGACTTGGGCCGAGCCTGCCTGCCAGTGAGCCTGCCAAGACGGCTGCTGTGTCCTCCAGTCCCCCGACGGCAGCGCCCCCCAGCACCAGGCTGGCGGAGGACTCGGCTCTGCAGGGTGTGCCCTCCCTGGTGGCAGGCGGAAGTCCACAGACTCTTCAGCCGGTGTCCAGCAGCCACGTGGCTAAAGCTCCCAGTCTGACCTTTGCTTCCCCCGCCAGCCCTGTCTGTGCATCAGACAGCACTCTGCATGGGTTAGAGAGCAGCTCCCCCCTTTCACCACTGCCAGCTACTTACAGCTCGCCTTTGTGGGCCGCGGAGCACCTGTGCCGCAGCCCAGATATCTTCCCAGAGCAGCGGCACAGCAAGCACAGGCGCTTTCAGAACACCCTAGTGGTCCTGCACAAGTCCGGCTTGCTGGAGATCACCTTGAAAACCAAGGAGCTGATCCGTCAGAACCAGGCAACACAGCTGGAGCTGGACCAGCTAAAGGAGCAGACCCAGCTGTTTGTAGAGGCCGCCAAGAGCAGGGCTCCTCAGGCATGGGCCAGGCTGCAGGCATCGTTATCATCCGGGTCTGGTCATGCTGGCAGTGACCTAGAAGCGTTCTCTGATCACCCAGACATATAGCACAGAAGGCAGATTTCCTGTTACTTGAGGGTTTTTTTGTTTTTTTTTTAACTCTTGCTGTTATCTTACTCCTGTTTCCTAAAGCTTGTGTAAGAGCTTTTCCTTCTGCACTTAAACTGTTGAGCGGTTCACTTACGCAGCCACATGCCAATACCTGGCTGCTGTCTTAACCTGTGGTCTATGTACAATTTACATACATCTCTGTTCCACTGAGGACCTCAGATTCGGGGCGTCCTTGAGTCCCTTTTCCTTAGCCTGCAGGCACTTATATGGATCACGGGGCACAGCAGGAGAGATGAGTGTGTGGGGTTCTAGCTGTCACCTCCCACCATCCCACTCACTCACCTTGATCAGAGGTGCAGTGACATGGATGAATATACCGAGTGACACCTGTCAAGCCAGGGAGTAGGTGACATAAGGAACCCTTCATAGATCTTCCCTTGAATATCTTAGAGAAAAGTAAGAGGAGGTGTGTTTGCATTCCTTAAGGCACTGTGGCATCTAGGCGAAACCTAAAATGCTCTGGGCCCTGGGTGCACACAGTCACTTAAAGTTGTGTTTTCTTAAACTTGAAAGTCAAGGGGAAAGGGTTGTACCTTTTAACTCTGACACTTTCATCAACCAGGTTTCTCTTCCCTTAAACTGGTAGGCAGAATAACTTCAGATTTCTAAAGTGTGGAACGGATTCAGTACCATCTGGAATTACAGTCGACGCGTTGCTTTTTTGAGTTAGAGTCTGAAGAAACATATGGTCGGTATCTCTTGGTCAGGGGCTGGAATATTCTGGCAATTTGTGCTTTTTTTCTCCTTTTGAAACAATGCAACTTGTTTTTTGTGTGAAAATCTTAAAGCTGGCTTCATGGTTCTGAGAGTGAGTTAGCAAGTGGTGTAAATTAACCCCTCCTGCCACTTTTTCTTCTTTTGTTTTCTAAAAGAGGAAATAAGTGATTACTAAGCTCAATAGACTTGGGATTAAAACCATCCTGAGGTTGTGAAATATAAGCCCACAAAATTGGAAAACATTCTCACCAGTCTTTGCCCCCCAAGTTCTCATTGTCGCGCGTGTTGCAGTGAGGTGTCGCGGTCAGGGGCGGCTCCTGTGTTCCTGCCCTGCGTGCGGTGCTGTTGGCAGCAGACCCGGAGGCGGGCGCTGCTCATGCGGCTTCGCCTGGGAGCGGAGGCTGCGACGGCAGCTCACAGCCGGTACACCTTCGTTCCCCTTCGCTGTGAAGGCGGACTGGATTCCCAGGAAAGCTTCCAGCTTCTCTGGCTAGAAAATTCCTTCCTCTAGAGAATCTAACTTTGGGATAACCAGCTTTTCCGCAGGAAAATGTTCGAGTTTTAACAAGGCCAAGAAAAGCTAAAGCCCAGATTTGCCAGGTGGTGGTAACTCGGACGTAGTTTTAAAATTATGAGGCTTTGGATCGCCTCAATTTGTTCTCAAACATGTATGAGTTAGGTAAGACCAACTTAGAAATAAACAAGTTAGTAAAATCTCTAGACTCCCCGATCACTGCAGAATTATTACCTGCCATTTGCTTTCTGGAAGTTTCAAAATTCAGAGCCATTGTGTCTTTAAGCAGAAGCGGCTCCTTTAAATAATTTTGTCTTGGCCTAGCCGCTTTGCCTCTCCGAATCTCTGGGACTACAGCAGCTCTGCTGTGCGCACCATGCTAGGAAGCTTCCTTTTTGGCAGAATGTGTTTGGCAGCAGAGCTGTAGAGACAGGTGCATTCAGAACAGCCTGGGCACGAGTCATGAGTCTTAATGAGTGTCAAAAATCTGAACACAATTGCTGAGAACCAAATTTATTCCATTGGAAAAACCCTCTGTGGAGCTCTGAGCCTCTTGAACTCTTCTTCCTAGATTCAGGTTTGCATTTCCCTTCCGGTCGTGGTAAAAGATGTTGGAAGCCGGCACTGATCCTCACGGCTCTCCTCTGGTCTTGTAACTTGGTGCTGGAGTCTCGCTAAGCTCTTAGCACAGGTGCTTTTTCCCTAGTGGAGCTGTAGGCCGGTGAAGCCAAGTGGAGAAGCTAGATCTTGGAAGGAGAATCCATGGAAGCTAGCAGACATTTGGGGCCAGAGCCAGATCAGCAAAGGCAGGAACCTTGGAGTGGACCGGAAGACCTCGTTGGCTGCACAAGGCTGCAGGTAGCGATGACCTGGTCCTGTATGATGTCCTGTGGCAGAGCTGCTGTTTCCTGAACGTGCGAAGCCATCCGTAGCTCAAACTAGTCCTTAAGAGAACTCCTGGCACATTTTGTTGGCAATACCGAAACACATCTAGAAAAAACTGCTGATTAAATTGGTTATGGGAATGGAGTTTAATGACATTGTAATTTATTACTCTCATTGCTGTTTATTGATTATAGTATTGGCTGACTTGACTGATTCCTTCAGCAGAAAAGTAACTCTCATGCATATATCAAAGTGTTTTTCCAGCTATGAATTTTTTAGGGTAGAGATTTATTTACCAAATGTGAATTCTTTTGAGGAAGTATGAAGTTTTGTAGAAATTGACTGTGAAATATCAGAGAAAAATAAAAGTCACTTGAAAGCTATTTGGCCTTTTTGCTTCATGACTGCTTAAAAATACTAAGTGAAACCTAGAGTAAATATTTGAATTGATTTAAGTTTCAAACGTATGTACTCGTATCATTTGGGCATGTTGGGATTAGATACTGAACTTGTAGAAATTCATCTTTCAGACTCTCACCGGTGTGAATTTAAAGGGAATGCAAGCAACCATAAGGCCAGTGAGCGGCCCAGTGTTCCCCCGAGTCTTGGAGGTTTATACAGGGTAGGTTGGGAGGAGAGGAGAACACAGTCCAATGATTTCTTTAATCTGATCTAACAGTTTCACAAGTAGAATTTTTAAGTGACAGGCTACTTTAGTTGTCCACTGGGATAAACTAAAGCCACATTAAGGGAAGTTCTTTCTCCAGCAGAGGGTCCTCAGCAAGCGCATCTCCAACCCTCTGCTTCGTGGAGCTGATTCCTGGTGCTCTGCTCCTCAGGCTTCACCTACAGTCTCAAGGCCGGTCAGGGCGCCCCTCCTGCGATTTGTAAGACACTGGAAAAAAGTAAAAGCTTATCCTTGTTTAAAGGCCTACAGGGTTGCCATAGTCTAATTCTTACAGCATTATTTCCCCCCTGTACAATTTTCTTTTTTTTTTCAAATGTTTTTATTGATTTTTTAGAGAAGGGAGAAAGATAGAAACATTGATGTGAGAGAGAAACTTCGATCAGCTGCCCCCTGCACGCCCCCTACTGGGGATCGAGCCCACAACCCGGGCGTGTGCCCTGACCAGGAAGCGAACCAGGACCTCAGTCCATGGGACGACGCTCAGTGCACTGAGCCACACCGGCCGGGCCCTCCTATACAATTTTCTAAGTCACTTGGGATCCAGACAAGCAAGAGCACACAGCACACAAAGTGGATCCTGCGAGACCAAGGAGAGCACAGTGATTTGAGTGTGTAGGTGTGTAGCCTAATGTCACTGTAGATGGCAGCCTGGTGCGCTGGTGTCTACAGACCTGCACCCACCTGTCACATGTTACTCATTAACTAGATGACTTTGGATCAGTCACTGAGCCCATCTAGGTCTCACTCCTCTCAGCTGAAACATAAGGCATTGGAACTGGTTCTCTCTGCAGGTCTCAGCTCTGACCATTTGTCACATCCAGCTGTGTTACAGCTGAGCCATAAAATCAATAGACTGAAAATGTTCTAACCTACAAAGTAGATTCCTCGTGCTCTGTTACGATGGCCTTTCTATTTCAGTGCTGTCAGATTTTTAACTTTCTCCAGGTGACTCTGGAAGAACCTTCTTCCCAGTCTGCGCTGCTTTTGCCTTTCTTATGATTACCTGGTTGCAGCTAGCATGGATTCACCCATTCCCAGATAAAAGACTACTCCCAAACAGACTTGTAGCCCCAAAGGAGAATAACTTGGGGTTAAATCACACCATGGCCTTTGCTAGTCAGTTATCTGCAAATAGCTCTTTCCTCTCATGTGAGATGAAGGACATACCTGGTTTTATGCTTTGGAGAGAGTGTCACTCAGGTTCTATTTCCTTCCGGATTTCTCTCCCCACAACCAGGAAGGATGTTCCCGCGTGTCCCACTGGAAGCCTCTCAGGCCGATTCAACGTCATTTCTAAGGTGGCTGTAGCCTATGTAGATGTGGTGACACTATGTGCGGACTTTCTTCTGGCCCCAGCCTTCTGGGTGTCACCTTCCATCCACACTGGAAGAGAGAGTAGAGGCGAGAAGGGGTCTGCCGGGCGACATGGGGCAGCCAGAGTGGCCGGGGAGAGACGGCAGGAGGCAGCCTCAACCTCTGCCGCCTGGGTTTCCTTAATTGTGAGGAGGCATGCTTGCTGGCCACTGGGCATCCAGAGGTTACGGTGAGATGCAAAACAAGGACTGCAACGTGTTTTAAACCGCCACAGAGCACGGTGTGTGCAGCGATGGAATTCAAGCGATGGCCTCCCACCCCTTCAGGGTTGTCATTTGCTTGGAACAATTAAGATTATCTTTTACCAAAATCGCATTTACAAACGAATGGGAAGAGAGCAAATCTCAACCCATCCTCTGCCTGGTTTCTTGGAAGGAGTTTTTCCTTGGCGTTTTCTTCTCGAATGCCTTTTTTTTTTTTTTTAGAACACGTGGCTTTCCCGTCTCTTTTTCTGAAGGGTGGTTATGCAAGAAGGGAGAGTTGCTTGAAACAACAGTCTGTATGGTCCCTGCCTCAGATTACAGCAGCTGGAGGAGATGAGCACGAAAGAGAGAGGCCTGTGGAGTCTGAAGTTAACACAGCGAGGGGGTGGACGCTGTCAGGCGATGAGGGGCGTGAAGACAAAGCAGGAGCCCAGGCCGGCCTGCGTGAGGGCCCGTCAGGTTGCGTGATTACAGCGGAGCGAGGCCTTTCAGAGCATCTTGAGAGCGTGAGAGTAAAAATAGCCGCCTTTGATTTTCCCGAAGACTCCGGAATTGCAGTGGCTTTGGAGGAGTGCTTGACAGTCCTGGCAAATGTCCCCGCAACAGGCGGGCCAGGCCCGTGTCCTCCGGAGGCACCCACAAGCCTTCCCCCTCTGGGTGGGCAGGCGGGAGCGCGAGGCCCGGACCCTGCCCTTTGCTTGGGGCTGAGAGAGAGTCTGAACAACCAAGACCTGCTACTAGACGTAGATGGAAACCATAATGTCCCTCCGGGAGGCTGGGTTGAAATGACCATTTCTGCTCACTCCTTATACAAATTAATAAATTGCCCCCAAGTCAGAGGAAGAGAAGAGCTTAAAGATGCCCACAAGTAAAGAGCCGCACCCTTGGCAGGCCCTGTCGTACGGAACAAATGCAGGAAAGCCTGGCTCTGGAGGCGTGGGCCTAGTGAGCCTTCAGGTCTGACCCCTGCTCTCCAGCACGTCCCTGGGCTCCTCCTCCAGCATCGCCGGGATGCCCAGCAAAGCCAAGTGAGTGTCCACTTAAGCAGCCCACACAGAGGAGAGGAAGGGTGGCGAATTGCCCAAGCCAGCAGCCCAGGGCACCCGCAGCCGACAGCAAAGTGACAAGTGCAGTTCAGACAGGGAGCTTTCGCCGGTGGTCCTGGCACTGCAGCAGGCCGAGGGGCCCAGACAGCTACGGTGAAAAGTCCCTCTTTCAATACTTGCCTAGTCGAGATGTATTTGGAAGAATGCACTGCTTTCATTTCTGAAGCATTTTCTAATCAGTCACACTGGGAAGCCCCTAACTAGTCACTAGTTAGCTAGTAAGTTCCTAATGTGCTGGTTGTATTGGGTTGGGCCGCAGGGACAGGAGCGGCCTGGCCCTGCCAGCTGCAGGGATTGGGAAATGAAGGAGCACACGCGCTGAGGGAATGGTCAATGTCCCTGCCACATTATTTTTTTAATCACAAGAAGAAAGGGCTCTGGGACCCACAGGGTCAGAGGTGAGCGGGCACCTGACAGCACAGGTCAGCCTCAGAGTAGGTCCCCCTTTAGAGACCTTTAAACATCCTCAAATATGTGGTCCTCACTATTCCATTTCCATACACACACACCCTCAAATTTGTGGTATTCTCAAACCCTGATCATTTCCACTTGTGAAAGTGTTAATGATTCCTGAAGCTCACCTGATCCAACGTTGTCATTGTGGTTACTACTTCAGGGTAACAACACATAAAGTTGTCAACACATTGATGTCCCAGGTGCTGACCTAGTTGTAGGGTATAAAATGGTAAATGAAACAGGGCCCCTCAGTGGGAGAGTAGCAATGACCATCCATTAGTCAATCACCCCTTTGATAGTCTGTGTCCCACTGGGTCTTATCCATCCAAAGTTGGGTGTGTGAACCTGTTTAAAGTGATATGTCCTAGCCCTGGCCTGTTTGGCTCAGCAGTTGGAGCGTCGGCCCGCCGACCAGAGAGTCCTGGGTTCGGTTCCTGCTAAGGGTACATGCCTCAGTTGTAGTTTGTCCCTGGCCCCGGTTGGTGTCGTGTGGGTGGCAACCACTCGATGTGTCACTCTCTCAAGTCAATGTTTCTCTCTTCCTCCCTTTCTCCCTCCTGCTGTATCTGAAGATAAATGCAAAAATGTCCACGGGTGAGGATAAAAAATAAAAAATAAACTGATATGTCCTACTCACTTCTTTCATTTCAAAGATTAACATTTTGATTACCTCTGGGTGTGGCATCCTTTGATTAGGGCTGGAGTTGAACTCGTAGTTGAGAGCAGAAGAGTTGAGACAGGCACGATGTATTATTAATCAGTTGGTAAGTTCACCTCAACACCCAAACACACGAGGAGGGCGTTCTGGGAAGTGCACTCTGCTGTGGGCGACTGGCCTTCAGACTTCTGAGCGCATCATCCGCAACAGCACCCGTGTGTTTTCCTCCGCCTCCCCCCAGCCACCGCCAGCGGAAGCACACAGCCTTCTAAGCTTTGCCGGAGGCACCTCGCTCGCCTCAGGCTAATCCTGTCCCTGGCAGCACCAAACGCTCACTGGGGCCCAGGACCCGCAGAAGACTGCCTGTGGTCCCAGCCTCGGAGCCCTCCCAGCTGGGCCAGGGGACATGCCGCAGGGTAGTCTGGCCTGGGGCCCGAGGCCAACTGCAACCAGAGCTGGAGGAGCGCTCCAAAGTCTCGAAAGGAACTCAAGGCGAGTTGAGATTTGAGCTCAGCTTTGACGATCGTGGGGCTGAGGCAAACTGAGAGGATGGGAAAAGTGTTTTCGCCAAAGGAAAGAACACAAGTAGAGGCATCAGGGTGAGTTGGGAATATCATGGCTTTGGATCCCGCTCTGGTTTCTGTGTGATCCTAGCAAGTTCTATAACCACTATGGGCCTTGCTTCCTCACTTGTTAGGTTGCTACCTACTCAAAGCTGATGGAGCCATAATGTGTCAAGTGCCTAGAGCAGTGGCCTCACATGGAGGGGTGGGGGGAGGGGGCGTGCTCAATAAACAGTAATCATTAGATTGTTACTGCAGCCATTTGAGGAGTGAGATGGGCCGGCTGCGCTGGCCTCAGTCCAAGGTCAGCCTTTCACTTTGTACTTACAGGTGGT